TTTTTTTTTTTTTTTTTTTTTTGTCAACGCGTCCATACATCCCCCACAGAGGGAGAGAGTACGCCTACTTGGGGTACCCGTTCAATTCGAACCATTATATGTTAATCACAGCGTCAAACTAACGGTGAAGCAAATCGGTCCTTATGTAAGTGGGTGACCTCTGTATGAATTCCCCTTTGCTAGCGTGTATACGACGTATATAACGTGTTGCACACACATTTGTACGCATGTGAGCGATCCCTCGCTTTGCTCGTTTTCCACACAAGCAGCGCTCGTAAAAATGAACGCGGACAAGCTGTTGGCCGATCTGCGCGAAATAGAAGAGGAGTATGAAGGGGAGAGCGAGGGGGAGGACCCTTTGATGCCGACGCAGAAAGTGATGTTCCCCAGTGGAAGCGTGAACAGAAAGTTGTTCGACGAAAAAATGAACCACCACTACACCATTTTTAACACAAAAAATGAGTTCCGCAAAACAGAAATTAATGTAGAGAAAACGCAGATTGACATAATTAACCATTTTATATTTTTGCTGAAATTGTTAAAAAGGAGGAATGACGAAGAGATGATACGACAAATAAAGAAATGCATTCAAGTGTCTTTTGAGACGGACAACGATGAAATGCAAAAATTGTCTGAGGAAAAATCTTTTTACCTGTACAAACAATACCTACTGAAAAATAAACATTTTTTTTTTAAAATGTGGACAAGTATGAAGAATAAAAATTTTTACCCCGATGTTAAACAAATCATTAAAGACATCACAAGAGATGTTTTTTCATTCAACAGGCAAATACTTAATGGAAGTTTGGGGTTTAAATCAATTTTATCCAATCTGTACAAATTGCTAGGGAAATATTTTCAATGTGACTTTAAAAACATATTATTGAGCTTCTTTCTTCTGAGTCTTATGAGTCGAACTAATAACACTGTGGACATTTTGTACACACTAGAATATTATTTTAAAAACAAAAATTTCTCCATTATTATTCCCAATACCTGTTTTATCTCTCCATGCGAGCTCAGTATTTGTAATAATATTATTCTCTTGCGTAGTCATGTAAAATATTTCATCAAGGTTACAGAGGAGTCTTCATCTCTGCTGGCTTACAATTGCTACAACATTATATATGTTGATGAAAATTTAATAAGTGATAATTTCTATTTGCATATTTATAAAACGCTTCTGAAGGATTGTAAGCACCACTATCTTTTTCGGGACCAGGAATTATTCGGCCAAGTAAACTTCTTTGATGTTAAATCTAACTATGCCAAATTGAAGTCAAAAGGGTTGCCTCAAGAAGAGGATCCCTTTGGAGAGGTACCAACTGGCTACGACACGGCAATCTACCCTAATGCAGAAAAGACGGAGAGCATCGAAGAGAAAAACCATTTTGCAACCCTCCTGGACGATGTAGAAGTTTCTTCCAACTCGACGTATAACTGCAGCGATAACGAAATTGATATAAAAAAGATAAATGAAAAGAATCGACTCTACCGGGATACATGTAACCATTTGGGTAAAAGCAAAAGGAACTGTTTTTACCAGTATTTGATTATAGAGTTGAGTTCGTGAGAGGGCATAGGAGGGGGATTATCCCCCCTGTACGAAGCTTCAAAAAAAAAAAAGAACAACTGCATATTTTTTTTTTTTTTTTGGGTTGGCCAATCCTAACAATTTGTATGCCGCTCTGCCCCTATGGGAAAATAAGCACTGCATATTATCATGCTGTTAACGGGCTGATTTGTCCATTTTTTTTTTTTCATACATTCTGAGGGGTAACACATCCATTGTGTGTCTCTCCCCTTCACTACCTCGTCCTTTCACTGCTAATGTTGCTAAACATGTCACAACACCCTATGTCAACCGCAGCATTTTGTCCCTCTTTTATTTTTAAAAGGGGGGGGAAATGCATTCTTTTCCTTTTTTTTTTTTTCCCAAGCGTGCGGTGGATGAGCGCACATCGTTGTGATGTACTAAGCCACGGAGCCGTTTAACCGCTCTACACCGTGACGTACTTATTGTGTTTTGTCATTTTGTGTTTCTCCCATGGAGGAATTCCCTAAACTGTTCACTCATTTGTAATGACTAGTGGGGCCATTAACAATGGTGTACCACTTTTGCAATTCCACAAAGCTTATGTAACATACGTGTGTGCAAAAATGGCACGCACTAAGTTTACTAATTCGACCGTTGCGCTGTCACGGGGGTGTGGTGCCGCATTTAAGGGTGTGCGTACGACATGTTCCAAAATTTCCGCTTCACACTTTGTTATATTGACTCGATAAAACCATAGGGCAGTTTAAAAAAAAAATAACTAAATAATCAGCAGAGTAAGCCATTTTTGTCAATTGGTTCGGAATTTTAAACGGAGGTAAAAATTGATCATAGGTGAATTAGCGCGACCTTGTATTTTATTTTATTTTTTTTTTTTTGGGGCGTGTATGCCCTTTTTCGAGCTATTTTCCCCATTTCCTGTTTTCAACTTTCACACAATGAACAATTTTGGCGAGATACGATAAGAACGACGCCACCCTAAGGTTTGCACAAAAAAAAAAAAGTAAAAAGAATAATCTCTTGAAGAAAATACGTGGAGCCAAATGGTCATTCGGAAGGTCAGTACGATGGTGAACATCCAACAGGAGGCAATTCTCACTCCTCGCAAAAAAAAAAAATATTGGAAAGAGCAAAAATTTGCGACCCTTTTTTTTTTTTTTTTTTTTTTTTTTGTTCCCCGTATGACACGTTCAAATTGTATGCCCGTAACCTTGCATCACAAACAGTCATATGGTATTCATTGTTAGCACGCCAAATGTGCCATAAGTAAGCTGCTCCATATTCAATTTTATCGTCGAGCATTTTTCTAATTCTTGCCTCCCCAATTCGCACGCAAATGTAAAAACACCCTCGTGGGAAGGGAAAAAAAAACTGGGTCGTGATTTGTGCTGATCGGATTAGCGCATGCACAGGTCAATGTTGGCGCTTAATTTGGTAAAAAAACAAAAAAAAAAAAAAAAAAGAACAAGTGCAAGCGGAAAGGAATAAATAGCAAACAATAAAAATGGTGCATGTATATATATATAAATATATACATACGCACATACATATACCGTACGGTACACAGTTTTGCCACATGGCAATGCATATATAATATGTGTTCAGCAAGAGTAGGGGAAAATATAGTTGCGCACCCTATCCTCATGTTTCTTAGTGTTTAAAGGAATAAAACAAAAAAATTAAAGTAAAAAAAAAAACAGCACAAACAAACTTGTGAAGCGCTCCATAACATATAACCGTACATGCGTGTATGAAGAGGCAAAACGTAAACTGCATTGCAAGATGTATCACGCTTTATACGAGGGAACGTGCTGTGAAACTGATCTTTATAAAAAAAAAAAATAAAAATAACACGTAAAATGCGTATAAAATAATCCACGCGCAAGGTTGGTACATGTATATACAAAAATATGTACATACGGAACCATGCATGTACAAAATTAAAAAACCATTTCCATTTCGGGCTTTCTCAAGCACTTTTTATAAGAGCTTTATTTTTATTTTTATTTATTTATTTTTTTTTCCATTTTGAATGATTTTGTATCTTTTACGTGTTGTTCTTTTGAGTCAGAACACATTCTTTTTTTTTTAACCTATTCGTCGTGCATACGTACATAAAGTACATACACGTACGAACATACGTATACATATTTATCTTCACGCGCACTTAGCCTTTTTTTTTTTTTTTTTTTTTTTTCGCCCCCCTTAGCCTTTTTTTTTTTTTTTTTTTTTTTTGCGCCCCATTTGTTCATGCAAAATTAGTCAAGATGAGGCATACCAGGCCGTTTATTTTTCTCGTGGCGCTAGCCATGTTAAATTGTATTAGGGCCATAGACTCCAACAGTAAGTACCCCGTTCGTTCATGAGTGCGCCAGTGCATGCGTTAATACGTTCATAAGGTTTAACACGTATGCAAGCTGTATGGCCGGGGAGCAGCGCTATTCGCCCCGCCCCATAACGAAACAAAACACAAGTGAAACATGGAGCACGTATTGCGATCGCTTAGAATGAGGGGGGTGGGAAGGAAGAATCCTTGTGCATCGGCAGTGGAAAATTTGTAGTAGCATGCTGCCAAGTCGCACAACATATAAATGGTATAAGTGCGAAGGGAAAAAAGTTCAAAAAGAGGGTTTGCCCCCCCGCCCCATCTCCCCATTCAGTTTAATTCTCTTTTGTGCGTTGCTTCACTTGGTGGTGTGTTATTGCTTGTGGATCGCTTTTGGATCGCTTCTTCACCGCATACCGTGTAACCGCCCCGCATAAATATACATGTGCAGACATGAGTTCCCATTTCTTTCCCCCCCCCCGCCGACTCTTCAGTTGAAGGCCCTGTGATAGGAATTGACTTAGGAACGACATACAGTTGCGTTGGTGTTTTCAAAAATGGTAGAGTCGAGATATTGAACAATGAGTTGGGAAACCGTATTACGCCATCGTATGTGTCTTTCGTGGATGGAGAAAGGAAAGTGGGTGAGGCAGCTAAATTGGAAGCCACCCTACACCCTACCCAGACTGTGTTCGATGTGAAAAGATTAATAGGAAGAAAATTTGACGACCAAGAAGTGGTGAAAGATAGGACTTTATTGCCATATGAAATTGTAAACCAGGAAGGAAAGCCAAATATAAGAGTACAGATAAAGGACAAGAAGACGACTTTTGCCCCAGAACAAATTAGTGCTATGGTTTTAGAAAAAATGAAAGAAATAGCTCAATCCTTTTTGGGAAAGCCAGTTAAAAATGCAGTCGTCACTGTGCCAGCTTATTTCAATGATGCTCAGAGACAAGCAACGAAAGATGCAGGAACCATTGCTGGTTTAAACATTGTACGTATTATAAACGAACCCACTGCAGCAGCTTTGGCTTATGGACTGGACAAGAAGGAAGAGACGAGCATTTTGGTGTACGATTTAGGAGGAGGAACATTTGATGTGTCCATCCTTGTCATTGACAATGGTGTGTTCGAGGTTTATGCCACTGCAGGAAATACCCACTTGGGAGGAGAAGACTTTGATCAAAGAGTGATGGACTATTTTATAAAAATATTTAAGAAGAAAACCAACATAGATCTCAGATCCGATAAGAGAGCTATTCAAAAGTTAAGAAAAGAAGTTGAAATTGCAAAGAGAAATTTATCTGTAGTGCATTCTACTCAGATTGAAATTGAAGACATTGTAGAAGGACATAGCTTTTCTGAAACTTTGACCAGAGCTAAGTTTGAAGAATTGAATGATGATTTATTTAGAGAAACATTAGAACCCGTAAAGAAGGTACTAGATGATGCAAAATATGAAAAGAGCAAAATAGATGAGATCGTTCTTGTAGGAGGATCTACTCGTATACCAAAAATTCAACAAATTATAAAAGAATTTTTTAATGGTAAGGAACCTAATAGAGGTATCAACCCAGATGAAGCTGTTGCATATGGTGCTGCTATTCAAGCTGGAATTATTTTGGGAGAAGAATTACAAGATGTCGTCTTGCTAGATGTTACTCCACTAACGTTAGGAATTGAAACTGTTGGAGGTATCATGACCCAACTCATTAAAAGAAATACAGTCATCCCAACGAAGAAATCACAAACCTTTTCTACGTACCAAGACAATCAACCAGCTGTGTTAATTCAAGTATTTGAAGGTGAAAGAGCATTAACCAAAGATAACCACCTGTTGGGAAAATTTGAACTCTCAGGCATCCCACCAGCACAAAGAGGAGTACCAAAAATTGAAGTCACATTCACAGTAGATAAAAATGGTATCCTCCACGTAGAAGCAGAAGACAAAGGTACGGGAAAAAGTAAGGGTATAACAATTACAAATGATAAAGGAAGACTTTCCAAGGAACAAATTGAGAAAATGATTAACGATGCAGAAAAATTTGCAGATGAAGATAAAAATCTCCGAGAAAAAGTAGAAGCAAAAAATAACCTGGATAATTATTTACAAAATATGAAAGCCACTGTAGAAGATAAAGATAAATTGGCTGACAAAATTGAAAAGGATGATAAAAATGCCATTTTGGATGCAGTAAAGGATGCGGAAAATTGGCTCAGCAACAACTCCAATGCTGATGCGGAAGCTCTAAAGCAAAAGTTGAAGGACGTCGAGGCGGTTTGCCAACCTATTATTGTCAAGTTGTACGGCCAGCCCGGTGCCAACTCCCCCCCCCCAACTGGAGACGAGGACGTCGAGAGTGACGAGTTGTAAAATATTTGCTATAGGAACAGAACGCGGGGGTGCCTTTGCGCAAGCTGTGTTATTTTGTGTAGAGAAATTCTCTTCATTCGTATGCACATCCCGGGACAGTCACTCAATTATCTCCACCCGGGGAGCAACACAAACACCCCAATTTTTTTTTTTTTTTTTTTTTTTTCCTTTTCCAACCTGTTCTCTTTCTTTTCTCTCTTTTTCCCTCTTTTTTTTTTTTTTTTTCTCTCGCGCTCTTTTTACGCGCCCGTTTTACAATGATTAAGAAGCGAATTACATGCGTTACACGCTCAAGCGGACAGATGCTTTCGTGTG